TTCAACAAAACCGTCTGAACTGCCAATGTGTACTATTATCAGCCTGCGTCCCTTTCCTGATGGTGGGTTTAAACCAGTAGATAAGTTATTTACAAAAGCGTGCCTTTGACTTGTAAAAGTTTCATCCTGCCAAAATTTATTTGGTGTATGACCCTCGTTGATCCATTTTTCATCAAGAAAAAATATTTTTCTTTTTTGGTTTCTCATTTCCTTTATGGTTCTTAGAAAATGTCTTCTCAATATGACAATATCGCTTCTTTCTAATAAAATAGACTTTCTGGGATTCTTTTTCCAGCGGAAGCCTATTTCTTTTAAAAGTTTCCATAACGTACTTCGACTCATTTCTGGGTAATCCTTATCATCTCGAACTGAGACAAGAACTTAATCCAATGTTGGAAATTCTTGTCTAAAGAAGAATTCATGCACTTTCCGTCGAAGTCCTTCTTTAAAATGATATTCTATTTGAAATTTTGGTTTCCCTGGAGCATTACGTGGCATTTGAAAACTACCACATTTCTTTTCTTTAATAACTCTGTAAATCGTAGATTTCCCAACACCAAGTGTACTGCTAAACTAACTCAACGGTCTCATCAACACTTTCACATAAACGTTTGTCTGCAAATGATTTAAAACAATTAAATATTAATGTTTTTTCATTAACTGTTAAAGGACTAATTTTTCGGCGTTTACACGGCACTTCCAAATTTTCCATAACACTAGTATACACAATAAACTGCACCTTGCAACTGAAGTACCTACTTTTGTGAACTGTTAAGAATTTTGAATACGCCACTTGGACCTTCCTACAAAATGGAAAAACCCACTATCACATTTTCTGTGGAATAAGTTTAGAAGGTAATTATCTAGTCAATTACTGTCGTAGATTCCTGGAATTAAAGAATTAAATGTTTGATTGTTGAAATCCTTACTTCGTGGAATGCACTCATTTCAGATAAAATAAAACGTTTTATTTTATCTAAAGAATTAAACTTTATTTTGCAAATAGGTAGGTACTTATTAAGCTTTTATTGGTTATATATAACCAATAAAATAAACATCTTACATTTCTTGCAAATTCATTAGTACCTGTTAACCTCCATCACTCCGACACTGGCAACCTTATTTAGGGATTAGTAACCCTCACAACTATTGTATTCTATTCTGCTCCAACCTTTATACCTGGTGGTCATACTGAATTTAAAATTGTTTTCCTATATACTTCTGTAAACTTGTTGACAAATATCTGTTTTTCATTGAGTCACCCGTATCAACAGTTTAGGGATTTGCATACATAATTTATTGTTTTATTACTCTCTCATACATAAAAATACACTATAAAAGTGTATTTTGAGAAACAAGCATTGAAATATTTAACATCCATGGTTAAGGCGAACCAACACTTGCATTGTTTAAGTGTTTTAGTTTTAAGAATTTTGGATCCATTGATAAAATAATAGAGAACACTTTTATAAAATATGCCTTTTTTTCTTTTCAAATGAAGAGTATTAAAACAAGGTTACATAAGCAATTCTTCTAGAGAACACATTTTGAAGATTAAAATGTCCTCTACAGAAGAAAGCCCTTTTACTTTTTACTGTTGTATATTATACTATAGTTATATATTATAGTATACAAAGGTTTAAAATAATAATCAATATCTTTGTATAACAAGAAACCTTTGATTTTGTTTACACTACATTATATTTAATATAATTTTATGCTAAATTTCCTCACCATCTGGATAATCAGCACGACTCCCATTGTCCTTTTCAGGCGGTGTGCTTTCTTGAAATAAAAGTTTGTAAAGTTTCTAGTTTCTTCTCTTAAGTGCAGAAACAAGTCTCTCACGTCTTTTATTTTAGACTGGTTAATAGAAACTCGAGGCGAAGGTATAAGAGTAAGTTTAAGTAGCAACGTTTTTGCATATTTAAAAGGGGTATACATTTCAAAGTAGGTTTTAAATGCAGCCAGTGTCCCACAAGGTTTATACTTCAGCACGCGATACTGTTGTATGTTAAACTCACAATCTTTATTCATAGGCTTCTTCAAAAAAACAAGGAAGAAGTTATGCCAATCATATATTATAGAGGATTCATGTTTGAGGCAGAAAGGAGGAGTTTGTCTGCAATGTGCGATTTTTTCTAGGTAGCCTTTGGGTTCTTCCACATATTGAACTCTTTTGAAGGCCTGTCTTATAATCCCAAAATTTCTGTCGCACTGACTTTAGGAGTGTTCACAAACAGGATAAATAAGTGTCACTTTGACTCTGTATAGTTTTGACATCCAAGAACAAAACCGTAACAGTCTGATTTTTATTTTTTCCTCTAGCTGCATCTGATAGAAGAACAATATGCTTGGTATTAGCATAATTTGTTAATTTATTGTGAATACAGTCAAAGATGAATGAAGCAACACTACTGCTCCATTTTTACATTGAGATTCTATGAAGGAATATACATATGGTGATCCATCAATATGCACGTGTATATTTAATACGTACATCCATAAAAGTCTTTTATAGAACTGTTTTGTTATGCTGAGCTTTGGCAACGGTAGATTTTGGGCGTAATTAAATTCCAGGACAAGAATGCCACTACCACCTGCTGCCTTTCTCAAGTAATCATTTTTTAGCTTGGAATATGCCTCAATCTCTTTTTATGGAGATTTTAATTAACACGGCATTCATCATTTCTATTCTTTTCTAGTTTGATTTCACACTCACGACAATAATCACATGTATGAGTCTTCGGTTTTTCGAACGCAAAATTAGTTTTCTCTGAAAAACTTGAAATAGGTCTTGTATTTCATGGTAAGATTATTCCCAGTAGTGTCTTTAAACGACTTTTGAAACTGCTCAAAAATATTCTTAATCGTTGGGTCTAGATTGTCGAAGTACAATCTGTTTGTTTTCCAGGTGTGTAAAGACTTGATTTATGTGGAATAGATTTTAAATGTTTAAAGCCATATAATCATATCATCTGGATTTTTTTTTTGGTTTCCGTGTTTTCCACGTTTTTCATCAAGTGGAGTTTTCTCAACATTTTTTTTTCTGTAATATTCTTACACGCTTCACTTCTACTTAATATAAGTCAACAAAAAAGGAACGGCACACGGGCACATAACAACCAGAAGTTTTAAGCTTGTATTTCCAGTGATACTGTCTGCTAATTTTGGGATTTTCTATCATTTTATACCTTTTTGGAGGCTCCCCTAATGCCATACAACCTGCTGTCTTGTTTTTTTTTTGTACCATTGTCATAAAAAGAGTCAAACAAACGCTTTTGATCCTGCGAAGTTATTTTTGCAAAACATTTTTCTGCACAACACTTACGAACAACAGAAAATACCTTACTCTGTACAGTTTTCCCGTAAATTTTGACACATTCTCCTGTCAACTCTGTCTCTTAGATTGTGCCACGTTTTTTTTTTTCAATGGTCTTTCTAAACAATTTTCTTTTTGGCACCTTTTGACACCGCGTTATCTAAAATAGCTTTACGACTAGTCATTGCTTTAAAATACACGGTTTAAAATGTATCATAACCTCAATCACTTTGTCAGAAATTCACCAAAACAGAGTTGATTTAGAGGCACAAATCTTTCTCAGCGGTGCCAACCCTTCATTAAAAAAGTGTTGTACCAACGTAATATCGTAGAAAAAAATTGGTAGACTGGGAGTGAATAACATAAAGAGTTCAATTTTGTGCCCTCTGGAAGAAAAGCTCATATGCCTATAGGCCCTTATTCTAGCCACCGCCTCAATTGTTAGTTAATTATTTCATAAGAATAACTATAATTCTGCTAGAAAAAACTCATTTTATTGATTTTTGCTGAACAAATAATATTAGAATAGTTTCTGAATAATTGTATTACATAAAAATAATTGATTTGAATTGATTTAATTATTTTTATTATTATGAATTCCATCATTTTAGCTGTTTAAGTTTATAATTAGAGGATTCACATAACTTTTTTGTCTATATCAGTTCTCCCCCTCTTAGTAATCAACCTTGGATTTTAATTACAAGTTTTATATGATATTTTCTACTCATCCATAGTAATGGTATCAAATTACTCATTGCCTAAGCTTTAAGTATCGCAGATACTCTGCAGAATAAATTTTTCAGCTTCTAATCGTATTTCCGGTGGGAGAAGTCCAGACTTGAGACGAAAATACGTCATTTGGCGCACCTGATCACAATTGACGTTGTCCAATATTCTTTTTACATGAAAGGCAGCTTTTTTTTATTTCAAAACTATGCTTACTTCAAAAAATATGCCTCGTAATTGTCTTCCATTTTTTAAATGAAAACTATAGTTGAAAATAATTTTATAGGTAATTTCAAAATCTCCAACTTCCAAATTCCTCTTCCAACAACATACACATGTCCATCCACTCCATCACTTCCATTGAGTATTCCTTACAAATACCAGACTAACCTACAAATACCAAACTCTCTGCAAGTCCCAGAGCACATAGAACTTTAGTTTTCTAAGGGTAATTTTTGCATATACTCCAATCAAGAAGATTGTTTTTAATCTTTAGATATTAAAATCAAAAACCGGTGTAAAAAGTAAAAACAAATATCAAATATTCTTATCTCATATCAGTGGCGGCTCGTATCACTTTAAGAAGGTAGTGCCAGAATTCGGGCAACTACCTAAATTTTTAGTGACGGGTTCATGATATTGTCAAAAAAGGTATAAAATAGAAATTAAAAAAATAGGCGCAGATACTTTTATCTTTATATATGTATCTACTATTTCTGGAGTGATAAGACATTGACCAAAATGTATCAAAACAGTTCCATAAATTAATTAATAATAAAAAAAATCTCAATTTTTAAATCAAATTTTTTTCAAATAGGTATTATTATTATCATTAACAACAAAAACCCGTATCTAATAAATTTAATAGCCAGAGAGAGGGTTGTTAGCATCGAAAAACAACGTTCTGCTTCAGATGTTGACATAGGAATGGTAATTAGTATACTTAAATTTTTCAAATGTACATTTTAAACCTTATACGTATCTCTTTACATATCTCTAAGGCTTCCCGATTTCTGCTGGGCCTGTCCTCTTCATTTTGCGCCTTTTTTATTAGTTCATCATTATCATTATCCGTTTGTCTCTGTGACGTGTTTATTTATTCTTGAATGTTATCAATAATGACGTCCATTTGCTCCCTTGTACCTTGAATTGCTGCTTCAAAATTCTCCAAATCTTCTTCACTTCAACAGAATCAGTGTATACTTTTTACAATTGATGAAAAATAATTTCAACGTGTAACATTATTTGATTAAAAATAAAGAACCAAAATACAAAATGTTTATCATTCAGCTTTAATTTATAACAATTTGCTTAATTAATAGATGACAAATTCCAACGTGTTTGGGAAGATTTTGGCAACCTGCGATTAACCACCTCATCCAATTGTTTGTTCTTTTTGAGGAGACTTAGAAAAGAATGAGCACAAACCAGATAAATTAGGAAAAAATATCCTAGCCTGCTTATTGATAGAACATGCACTTTTCATAATTAAATTCATTTGGTGTACATAGCAATGAACGTAATGTTCAAGAAGATATGTCTTCTTAATAATTTTTTGCACACCATTTAATCTATCACTTATAACAGATGCGCCATCATAACTCTGAGCAATTAATTTGTTCGAAGTATATTTTAATACAGGAATTAAAACATTTAAAATGCATTCAGCGATGGACTTAGCATCATGTCCGTCCAGCATATAAAATCTACAAAATCTCTCAACTGGTCGTCCTTTACACAAATATCGGAAAACTATAACTAATAGAAATTCACCAGCAACGTCTGTCGTTTCATCGGCATCTTAATTTCCTCGTGATATACATCCAACATGCACTCAAGGAGTTCATTTTGGGTTGTTTTTGAGGTACCTTTAAAAGATTTGGAACTTCAAATAAGATCCTTTAAGACGTTGTCCAATTCGGTGCTAAAATTGACCAGCTCCTTAAATAAGCTTCTGTTTTTCTGAATTTTTGGTTTCGTCGTGACCTCTAAGAGCTAACTCAAAAACTCCACAAAACCTTTTACAATTTATGATTTTATTCAAGACTTAGAGTATCACGATAAGCTGAATTTAATTGGTTTTTTATATCTAACTTATCAAGATTTGAAAAGCTAAAAACATTATTCATGTGCATTTTAGATTTTCCATGGGATTTCATTTTCTCCCATATATGCTGCTTTTGTTTGACCAAGTCCCGTCACTTCCAAATAAAACGCATACAAACCATAACGGTTTATTAGTTTGCTCGCAATCACACAACCAGCTATTTTTATCATAAATAGATGTATTAAACTTATGACAGCGAAGTTTTTGTCCACTTCCCACTTTGTTTTTCAATTTTTAAATCGGGTAAAGGCCGAACGAGTTTTTTAATTTGTATTTTTTTTTTTCTAACCAAAAACTGCCTACTAAGAGTTTTTTAAGATATTAATTTGATTCATTGTCAATAAATAAATTAAACGTATGAAATAATCAAAATATTGTTTTAGATAATAAAACGCAATAGCAGCAAGCGAAGGCGTAAATAAACTCTCGAAATAAATAAGATCTACTAAAACTTCCATCTTGAGTTCTCGTGCCTGACTCGAGTAGTTTCATTTAAACGTATTACTAAATATATAATATAGGTCTATCTCTGTCACTCACATAGGATGCTCGTAAAATGTTTTTCTTTTCATAGAAGCCATTTTGATCTTTGTACCAACAGATTATCTGATCCGCAGTGGGTTGCTAGCATCGGCTGTGAGATTTATATTGCACACACAGTTGCCAGATTTCATAAAATTTATAAAGATAAAAAGAAATACACACAAAATAATTAATAGGCATTAAGATGTTTTAAAGATAAAAATATGTTTCTGTACAAATAGCAAGGTAGTTCCAGTCGCTCTATGGCACTACCTCACGGGTCGCCACTGCCTGATATGTATCTTACACTACAACTTTAAAAAATCAGTCAAACTATCTCTTTTTGGCTGTTTTATGTAATCTAAAGTGCTTTCACTGGACTGACAATTTTGGAAAATTTTTTAATACATTTTTTTTACAAATTGAGTCAATATTTTCGTTACTGTGATATTTTTTTATATTGATAAAAATTGCTTTAAACCCACAATAGAAAACTCACTTTTTAATATTTCCTTTGCCATTTGTCAGGAAAGGACTCGGTATATCCACCAAAATAAAAAGACACTACATAATCTTCACAATATGTTGATGTGAACACACGTTTTTGACCTATTCACCTGCATAAACATATATACGAACGATGAATAATATACAGTGAGAGTGAAAAGTCTTACCCCCTTGTTAATTCGTTTATCTTAAAAATAAAACAAAATCGTTTGGGCACGTCGATTTTTAAACTTGTTCTAATATCTAACGGTATCAAAGTTTCGGAATTTCGATCACCCACATCAGATGACAGCCAAACCCAATTTTTTTTAAGTTCTTTTACTTAAAATCAGTTTTTATGGATGATTAGGTGAACAATATTTCCTGTTGTTTTGGTTAAACTTGTATTTCACCAAAATACAATGTCAAGCGTTGGTAAATTGTATATGGTTATACTTTATCCATATTAACGAAGAGATTATGAAATATTTGGAAGGCAATTATAAAAATATTTATAGAAAAGTTGGAATTTTATAAAGAAACACTATTCACTAAGAATTGTATGTAATAAACATTAGTGCTGTTTGATGAAGACATATTTATAAGTATTACTATCAAAACTAGATGTGGTATTTTGTTTGAAACGTCATAGTTTGTTTATGTTTATTTTTTCATTGTTTGAATCTATACATTTCAAATTAGGTGAGTCTATAAGTTTAATCTTATGGTCTACTAAATGTTAGAATAGCTTAAAGCTTGACTCAACTCGGTAAAACGTTTACCGGAAATTAAAACTATTGAGTAGTAAGAACCAGTCAAGAAGCTGGTTACAATATCTTCCTAGTATATCATTTGGCTACAGCACAATTGCTATATGATTGAATTTTTTATACACATGGTACTAGTATGTTTTTAAAGTAAGTCTCTGGGTCTACTTTTTTACCTGTAATGGTAGGTAATCTGAATATAGACCAGAATAAAAAGACTCTATATTATATTCACGATATGTTTAACCAAAACTGTACATTATGCATTACTCATGCCTATACTGTCATCAGAATAGATACATAGGGCCGGTTCTGGACCAATTTTCAAGATAACGCCGTGACATCAGCAGAATACAAGCTTACTTCTTATCGTCGTGCATTAAGGTTACGCCCCCTGACCAATGGTGACGTAGGACCGCCCCATCGGCGTAGCTAGCCCCAGTTTTCAGGGGGGCCTAGGTCCCAGTGTACGCTGGATTAAATTTTTTTTATTTGCCGTGCAATCAAAAAATAAATAGAAAAAATGCGTTATAATAGTATACTGCTTTTATTTTTTTTAATATACCTGATACATATAATATACACTGCGATAAATATTTACAAAAACAAAATATTACTTACAAGAAAAACTTCCTACTCTGTTCACTAAAATAATTTTACAACACTCTCCAAGTCTATGTCTATATCTTTTTCTATATACAACAATGCGTATCTCGAGTCACTGTCATTCTCAACCAGTTAAAAATCCACCTTAATGGCAGAAGAAGACCTCTCGCACGTTGCGTTTGAGTCAATTAAGTTTTTTTTTATATATATATTCATAACAGTTTCGTTAGATTGTAAAATACAATTTTTTAAAACGGTCATTTCTGCTTAAAGGTTTAAAGTTTAAAGAATATTTAAAATTTTACCATATTGTTCAATGAATTTCTCTGAACCCTCAAAATCTAACTGAAAAAAATGATCTTCTGAAATGGCAAGCGCCATACTTTCTGGTGAGAACCTTTTGTTCAGAAATTATCTTACAGTATCAATAATTCGGTAAAAAATGTTTGCCCTCCAGTACTCAATGACTCCTACGTTAGCTCCGGAACAAGTGACGTCTATCAAACCCAATCCTACGATTGTTTCGGTGACGAAGTCAACGAGCTTACTACTGGCTTGCTTTTTTTCTTTTGGATGACGGAATTTTCAATGAAATTTGGTATTCTGTGGCAAAGTTCGATATTTTTATATGAAGATCTAACGAAGTCTGGAGTTCTGGAGGCTCTTTGATAATATATTTAAAATGTTTAGCACCTCGTCCAATACAAAAAGATGAATTATAAATGATGGTTGTTTAATGCTGGATAATATCACAACTGCTGTAAGTGACTGTTTGCTATTTGTATGAGAAAGTCGTATTTCGACACACCCAACGAGTATCTGACAGAGTTTTCAACTCCGTGGAGACAATATTAAGGTCCTTCTATATTTGTTTGTATTTTTTATAGTTTTGAGGATCTGAAAAATGTTCGTAAAGTGCTTCCAAAGTACAAAAATATGTCAATATTGAGGGAACATTTTTACACGAGTGTACCAGAGCCAAGTTAAATCTATGAGCTAAGCAGTGCGTGTAAATTGCAGCTGGAAATTTCTTCCGCATTTGTGTTTGAAGATTACTTGTATTGCCTGACATCACCGCAGCTCCGTCATAGGATTGCCCTACCATCTGCAAGTTGCTAAGATTAAGCTCTTCCAATTTTTTGTAGATTAAAGTGAATAAATCTGTGGCTTGTCTGTCTTCTGCACAGTCAAGAAATGCAAGGAATCTTCACGAATTTCTAGATCTTTCGATGCATAGCGAACACATAGACAATTGTTCGTTTTTGAAAGAACGAGCTTCATCACACATGATTGAAAACGTTTCGGATTGTCTAATGTCGCCAAGTATATTTCTTAAAGACGCCCGTGACAAGAGGACAATAATTTCATTTTGTATTTGGGGACTGGTATGGTTTTTATTCGAATTATGTAGAATGTCAAACTCCTTGTTATACTTTGCTATTAGGATACATTTTTTCCTTAAAGTTTCGTTTATTTAATGAGCCATGCCTTGATGAGCCATTGTTTAGCTTAGATCTACCAATATTCTCAAGTAATTTCTATTTTTTTCTATCTGTGTGCTATATGCTTGTCAAAGATGAGATAAAACATTTC